AGCTGGTATTAATCTCATGGAGCAGGGTTCTTACAATAACATGAAATTAAAAAAAACACAAATATTTAAAATTATTGCACACCAACTGATCAAACCAAACACTTTGATTCATAAAAGGATAAAAAACTCTTTACCAAAATAAAAAAAAGTAAATAAGAAAAGATTAGTCTGAACATTCAAGTTATTACAAAAAAAAAATTATTTTACTTTTTAGCTTTCGAATGAGTGAAGAATTTACCTGCAGATCTCGTTCTTTCCAGAGTGGGCTCTCTCTCCCTGTGGATGTCTCCGTCCCCTCCCTGGATGTCCCCCGTCCTCTCATGCAGGATCGGAGACGGACACCTGGAGACAAAAAGAGACAAAAATTGTTCTTTAGAATAAAGACTTCAGTAGATCTACCACAGATCTACAGTGAGAGCCTTTCAGGTCAAATCTGACCTCTGAGTGCCAAAAACAATGATTAGCTTTATTTTTAGCTCTTATACAGTTATCAGTGTCTGAATTCTAGTTATTTTTGAGGTCTTTTAAATCACTGCTCTTCTGAACAAAAAATAAAGATTTAAAATAACAGAAAACACTTTAAGACACACAACTCATCAACGCTCTTTTATTCTTTTAAAACCAGCAASCAGACCTAATTTTATTACAGCCTGAGAAAGATGTGTGATGATAAAAACTACACTGATGATTTGGTCATTTTGTGCTGAAAAATTGCTGTCATTTTGTAAAATAGCGAGGCCTGAACAACGGTGCCGGGGCTGATTGTGGCTGCATTTATTCTGAGCAGAAAAAAATAAATCACAGGAGGACAATTTTAAGAGAAAGTAAGTGTTTTTTTGGTGGTTGTACCCATCGTATCCAGGCTGCTGGGACCAGCTGCTGCTKCCACACGGTCCTGGATCACTGGAGGACGACTGGTTAGACGGGGAACTGCGGTAGTGCTGGTCCCCCTTGTTACATATGGTGACCTGAGGGTTCTCCATGTCCTGCATCATCCTGGGCAAACGAGACAAACAGCATACGGCTATTATTACATTAATCTAAAGATTAAATAATCATCTGACATSTTTGTTTAGTTCAGAGTTTACATTTGAACCTGCCTCTGACTAAATGCTTTACTCCTGGAATAAAGTGACGTGTTAGAAGTAAAAATATTGATCGAGTAACTTTAGCACCGATAAAGTCCAACAACGTTACAATGTTTCTGTGGATTCTCGGGCTGTCTAAATTCAGGGGCTGGGTCCTTCGAAGGATCTGGCCTCCCCAGTCTAGGTGGGCCARGTCSTTGGTCGACCGTGAATTTGGACGGTCTAGTCTTCTGCTTTAAACAGAAGCAAAAATAGATTGAAATGTGCAAAATATCAATATATTAGTATTATTAATATTATAAAACAAAATTAGCTTGTGACGTAAGCAGCTGACAAATTCAGCCAGCAGAGGACCCAGACCCTGAATTTGGACACAGCATCAAGTCTTCCAGGACACGGAAAATTAAAAGAACAAAGACRAAACAACTGGACGTCTGTCCTGTAGCTAAAAACGTGGAGCTACAAGGTTTGGGTTAAAGTCTGGGGTAAAGCTTGCTAAACAAYTACAAATCCAATTTTTGTTTTACAGAAAAGAGCCGTAAGAATTATCGCTAGAAAAGATTACAACCATCCATCAAAGACATTATTTTGCAAACTGAAAATTTTGAAATTCTATGATTTGATTGACTATAATATTTTACTGTTTATGTACAACAAGTCTCACATTAACGTGTTACCTTCCAACATTCAGGCAAACTTTGTTAAGAGAGACAGTTGTTATTATCTTAAGGGGATGGAAATGTTTGTGAAACCATATTTTCATACTTGCTTGAGAGAAAGATGTACTTTAATCCAGGACATAGTTTAATCCAGGGTATAGTTTAATCCAGGGTATAGTTTAATCCAGGGTATAGTTTAAGCCAGGGTATAAGATTGTGGAATGGTTTGGAGGATGATCTTTAAAAATGCCAGATCTACGTATGCATTTAAGAAACAGTTAAAAGCTAGTTTGTTTAAGGAAAAGTAAAATGTGAATCTATATGAATTGTTGTTTGAGTTTTTATTTTTATTTAGTATTGTTTTGTAAATTATGTTTTGTTTGAATATATTCTGGGGATAAAAGGGGCAGACATAAGATTTATTCATCTTCTGCTAACTTTCGTTTTATTTTGATTTTTGATTTGTGTATTTTCTTTGTTTTTTATTGTATATAGTTATTTTTTAATGAAATGAATAATTTTTTTAATTGAATTGAATTGAATTGAATTGACAAACTGCATAAATCGAGGTTAGTGTCATTCTTATTACTGGACTTCACAGTAAAAGTTTCATGTTTCGCCTCATGACTGCTGAAAACTAAAAAGAGCGAYGTGGAGTGCCACAGCTCGAGAGGAAATTGTGGATAAAAAAGGAAAGATCATTGTTTGGCTTTTTTTCTCCTGGTAATTATTTCAAACAGATAAAAAACAAAAAAAAAAAACCTCATCAAAAACCATTGATATTAATACAAAACCCTTCCTGATACATTTATCAGCCATACTGCCCAGCTCTAATCACAAGGACACATTTATAAAAGGACTATAAAACGTCTCTCCCTCACATCAATAACACTTTTATTTGGTGTCCCAGCTCCTCGCATGTGAGCAGCRTGGATAATCTCCACAGAAAAATGTAAGCTGTCAGCGAGGTAGAATGTGTCGTTCTCCGAAGACAAACAGAAAACAGATTAGTTCTGGTTCTAAGCTGCAGCCAGGAATCCAGATGGTGACTCCCTGCCTTCACGCAACACACAAAGGAAAAGAGATTTTTCTCYTTTTTTAAGGAGGATTCCTGCTTCAAACAGCCAGATAATAAAGTTTAATCATTTACTTTGCTTCACTAGTTTCACCATTATTTCACCACTTCCTGTTCAGAAGGTCAATCTGCTCCTCTGAGCTCTCCTGACATCTTGTAACACATTTATCACTCAAWTAAAAATGACAGGTTTATTTTTATAAATCCAAACTTTGAGCTCAAACTCATCATCCTTGATTAAAATAAAACAGATATTTAGACTTGCAGATAAAATACGTTCACACAAACAGAAAGTAATCACTTATGCTAAATTTGACAAATGGTTTCAATCCTTTGACCTTTAGGGAGCTGTCAGAACTGAACACATCATTAAGCGCGCTGAACAGATCACTACATTTCCTGCTGCTCTCCGTGTCCACGAGCTTTAATGTGAAACAGCAGCGTCTGTTTTTTTCTTCTTTCTCTGAGGAAATGATAAAGTTTTGAAAAGCTTCTCTCACGCTGCTAAAGCTYAGAGTTCAGAGAGTCAGGATTAAACCATATTTTAGTTTGTAAAGTTTAAACACATCTTTGACAGTTAAATCCACTCAGGTAATGYGAGTGAGACAAGCTAGAGTTGATTATTTTCACCTGCTGACGAGCTGAAGGTGGGCGATGATGTTTTTACTAGTTTCTGTGTGACGTKCGACCAAAACGACCTGATGTTTGTGACACACTTCCATCATGAAGTGAGGAGGCTTATCTTTCAGCTGCCCCTTTCTGCAGGGGTCGCCATGTTTAGCTAGCTAAGCTTTTAAGCATTGAGCTTTTAGCTTCTTTTAGTCACATTTTGCTACAATTACGTTTCAGGAAATGCTATTTCTCTGGTTACAAACATCTTGTTTCTTGGCTGTTCTCTTCTGCAGGGGTCGCCTATTTGAGCTGGGTACTTTTAGATAGTTAGCTTTTAGCCTTTTTTAGTCACATTTTGCTACAATTACGTTTCAGGAAATGCTATTTCTCTAGTAACAAACATCTTCTTTTCCTTTCTTGGATGCTCTCTTCTGCAGCAGTCACCAGTTGTAGCYAGCTACTTTTAAAACTTTAGTTGGCTTTTTGCTATTTTTTGTAGCATTTTGCTACATTTATGTTTCAGGAAATACTATTTTTCTGGAAACAAACTTTTTTTCTGTTCTCTTCTGCAGGGGTCGCCTATTTGAGCTGGCTACTTTTAGATATTTAGTTAGCTTTTAGCTTCTTTAGTAGCATTTTACTACAATTATATATTTCTGGAAATGCTACTTCTCTTGTTACAAACATATTCTACTTTTTCTTTATTGGATGCTCTCTTCTGCAGCGGTTGCCAACTTTAGCTAGCTACATTTAGGTGTTTAGTTAGTTTTATGCTAGTTTTGATAGCTTTTTTGCTACATTTACATGTCAGGAAATGCGATTTCTCTGGTTAAAAACATATACTTTCTTGAATGCTCTCTTCTGCAGCGGTTGTCAACTTTAGCTAGCTACATTTAGGTGTTTAGTTAGTTTTATGCTAGTTTTGATAGCTTTTTGCTACATTTACATTCCAGTAAATGCGATTTCTCTGGTTACAAACATACTTTATTTGCTGCTCTCTTCTGCAGCGGTTGTCAACTTTAGCTAGCTACATTTAGGTGTTTAGCTAGTGTTATTCTAGTTTTGRTAGTGAGCAAACTTGATTGTTTTACGCCGCATGCCCTTCCTGATGCTACCTGGATTCAAACCTGCAGCCCCAGTAGAACAATGCCGCGGAGCTGTCCACTGAGCTCCAGCACCTCCCTTCTGAAGAGCAGCCTCTTCACGCTCAGTAATCATGTTGCAATTAAGCATTTTTTAACTCAATTAGTGAAAATAGTCCAACAAATATGAAGATAATTTATGTTAAATTTATGCCTGTAGATTATTTGTCTCTGTAATCCTCTCCTCCTCTCTCCCTCTTGACTCCTTCACTCCCCTCTTGCTCTAACACTCTCTCTGGGGGGCTACAAATCGTGGTCCGGGGAAGAGCACCGTCTTTGTTTCTGCAGTAATTGGATGAGATGAGCCGAGCCGTGTCAGTGTCCCCATCACTTCCTCCTCAGCGGGGTGCAGGAAGACGAGGGTGTGGTGGTGGTGGTGGTGGTGGTGGTGGTGGTGGGGGGCAGGAGTTACAAAGAGGGGAAAATGAGCAAAGGACAACGGAGTCCTCCCACTTCCAGAGACTCTGATTAGGCAGAGAGGGCGGYCATTATCGGAGCACAGTCGGAACAGGCAACACCGGGAGGGGGGCACACGGGAAAGGTTATCAAGACCRTTGGGGTTTCATTAGGACGAACAAATCGCTGCTTTACACGGCTCAATGGAGACGTCCAAAAAGAGACGGAACAAAGTCCGAGTCCGGCCTCGTCGTCTGAGGACAGATGAAAGCAGGGCGGCGAGTTCATTTGAATAAAACGCTCCGTTTGTACCTATGCAAATATGTGAACACAATAACAGCTCCTCAGAGTCCCCGTGGCTCGTCTCGAAACAGGAAATACTCAGAGTTCAAAGATTTCACCACAAAGCATTTAGCTCTGTTCAGCGTTGTGTTCCTGGATCACAAACAGAAAAAAAAATCCTTTCACCCATTAAGCTTCACCAGCAGGAACATCCTGAAAGCTTTTTAATTAGTTTAGGTTCTAAATTTAATGTCTTTTTAAGGTTTGTCTGACTTAATGTGACACAAATGGTTTATTATCATACAGCCGGCGTTTTGGAGCAACTAACGGGACTCAGAAACTGACGTGAGGAAAAACATGACTGCCCGCCTCACGATAACCAGACACGAGATTAGAGACGATTCCAAGCTGAATTTACAAAAGAGAGACACTTCATGGTCTAAAAGAGGCTCTCTAATCTGATCGCAGGCTGCAAAAACAAAAAGTAGTCCCACAGAGGTTACAAGAATATTAGGAGTGGCCGAATCAACAAGCTGGACTCTTTTCTTTCCACGGGAAAGAAAAACATTCACACCAACCAGACAGCTAAAAACTTCAGAACAAACTATTTACAAGTCAGATAAAACTATGATTAACATAAACCAGAGTGACACCAGGAAGAAAAATAAAACAGAAGGCTCGTAACTGCTCATAATGCAAACCACACATCATCATCATCTGTAAAACACATGGAGGCAGGGTGACGATGAAGGCATGTATGAATTCCTTTGGCAACAAGATCCAAGTGTTTATTGATGAAGGGATGAAAGACAGAAGCAGCCGAATGAACAGTAAAGTGTGTGAAGACGAAGCAACAAACCAGATTTCAAACATTGTGTTTAAAATCTAAAGAATTAGTGGTTTGTTAAATCTTCTGCTTTGTGGTTAAGAGTGGTTTTATTTAACGTCATTAAAAGTTAGATAATTCTGACAGCAGCAAAATGTTAGCCAAATACTACAAGTAGCACAAGGCCAGCTTAACATATAGAAAGACAAATTAAAAGCTAAAGGGAACAAAAGTTAGCTAAAATCTAATAGTAGCAAAGAGTTAGCCAAATACTACAAGTAGCAAAAGGCTAGCTTAACATATAAAAAGACAAACTAAAGGGAAAAAAGGTTAGCTAAAATCTAATAGTAGCAAAATGTTTGTCAAATAGCAGAAGTAGCATAAGGCTAGCTTAACAT